ATGTATGAGGGCCCAGGAGGGGGGCCAACAGACCGCATAGCCCGAAGAACCATAAAATCCCAAGAAAGCTTTGGTGCCCCCCGCAAAAGGCGAGCGGATGCGATGAGGGCAGGGATGTAGGGAGGGCCAGGTCCAGAGAGCCTTTTCATCCACACGAGAGAACCTGGATTTCAACCGAAAGGTGTAGGCACCGTTTTAAAGAAGGGAATGACAACTAGGTTTGTGTTATTCAGAAAAGCAGCCAGCCACTGTGTGGAGCGTGACCAGGTGCTAAAGGAGGCCAGTTCAGAGCAAAAGGTGATGGTGGTTACACTGGGGGCATGGTGGTATGCACAGACTCTAGGGAAACTCAGTTTTCTAAAGCTAAAGACTTGGCAGTTGGGTGGATGTGTGGAGGAATAAACGAGCCGAGGTCACGTCCTAGGATAATCTTTCTTGAGATGGGAAACTGCAGGGGAAGCTGAGGCAGTTTAGGATGGGGGTTGGCCAACTTTTTCTTAAAGGGCCGGTGTAAATATTTTAGGATTTGCCAGCCATGGGGTCTCTGTCACAGGTATTCAACTCTGCTGCTGTACCCCGCAAAGCAGCTGGAGACAATCCATACACAAATGCTCTTGGTTACCTGCCAGTAAAACTCAATTTACAATAAACGGGTGATGGGACTGTTCACTGGCCCCTGGTTTAGGATATGTCACATTTGATGTGCCTTCTCTGGTTCCAAATGGACAGTCTAGGAAGCAGTCGGGGAAGTGGGTCCGAGTAAAAGAGAAAGGTCTATTCTAGGTGAAGGAGGGAATCCAGGAGCAGCCGGGTGCAAGGGCCTTCTACGGCCAGGAGTGGGGAAGAGCAGAATGCTGAGGGCCAGGCCCTGAGGTCAAGTAAGAGAGAATGGAGACTGGAGAGAGGTCTTCCTGGGTGGTGGGAGGTTCACCTCGAGATGGGGCACGTTGGCAGTGTCATAACTGGGCCATAACATACCCCACAGAGCTAGCGTGAGGGTTGACTGTGTGGATGGGATATAAATGTGGGGTGCCAGAATACGCCACCCCAAGAAATGCCCCTTTGGCTTATGGATTATTTCCGAGCTAAAGACCCTTGAGAACCAACAAGTGCAGAGAAAGCTCTTCTTTTATAAAGGCAATCTCCCTTTATAAAGGAAATTTCCATTCATAAAAGATGTCTCCCTCTCCCACACCAGGAGGAGGAAGTCTCATCAGTGGAGAAGGCAGGTCTTAACATCTGCATAACAAATCTAACCACACAACACTTGTTTACCATACTTTTTCTGCCCCTCTCCCCATAACTTACTACTTTATCGGAAACCCAAAACCCCTTTTCCTTTTAGTTCAGATGGTAGGTGGGTTCAAGTTCTAAGCACCTCTTTGGGTTGTTCATTGCCCAGTGCTCCCACATGTACTTGTGCAGTGCCTGTGTTCATACACTCCTGCTTGTTTTTCTCTTGGTCTTCTGTCTTTGGCCCATCTCACTGAAAGGACTCCAGCTGGAGGACATGAGATGGGTAAAGAAAAGAATTTTTCCTTACCCACATAACCACATGATGACATCCCCAGTCAGAGGGGTCAGGGATAAAAGAGTGACAGAAACCAGATTTAAATAGGGTGAGGATGGGACTAGAGACGAGAGAATGAAGACGGCAAGATGGGGGACAATTCTCAACATGTAAAGCTATGAAGATGGACAGAGAGATGGTGGCTGCAGGGGAAGATGGAATGGAGTGCTAGTTGGTTGGTTGGTTGGTTGGTAATGGGAGAGATTTGTTTCAGTTCTGACAGGGAAAGAAAGACCTTTTGAGACTACAGGAGAAGGGATGGATTAATGATGATTCCACCAACAACCCATAGGGCGTTGCTCAAAGGACTTGGGAAAACTTCATCTGTACGGTGGAAGTGATGAGAACATCTGCCTCTGGGGTTGATGTGAGGAGCTACAGAGAAAACGCACACGTGGCTCTTAGTAAATGTTTCTCCTGTTGTATCTTTTCTGCTCCAGCTTCCAAAATGAGTGAGTCTGGGTCTGCAAGGTTTCCTGGCTCTGATGGCAGCCCCAGTGATCCAGGAACATCTTGAATTATTACTTTCTTCTGTTCTTGTGTGAAAGCCTGAATAAATGGTGGGGATTTTTGTTTGTTTAAAACGAATCAATAGAAATAACAGGAACATAAATTAGGTGTACCCCAGGGCTCAGGGGATGTACTAGAGGCAGGATTTTTATGAGGGTTTCGATCTCCTTTGGCTCATTGGATCAGTGAGTGACTGCTCTCTAATTGGTCTGAAGTCAAGCCTTCCAGACCCATGTTTTCTACAAAGAAGAGTGGCAGACCCTTTGCAGCCTGGGTTTTTATTGCAAGAGTGGGAAGCATCTGTGGAGTGGCTTGAAGAGCATTCCCCTCCCCGCCCCCCGCCAAAATTCATGTCTACTTGCTATCTTAGGATGTGACCTCATTTGGAAATAGGGTCTTTGCAGAAGTCATTAAGCTAAGGATCTACAGGAAAGCATCGTGGGTTTAAGGTGCACCTTATAAGAAGAGGATAGGACACAGACACACACACACACACAGGACAAAATCATGTGAAGACAGAAGTGGAAACTGGGGTGATGAAGCCAAGGAATGCCAAGGATTGCCAGGAGCCACCAGGAGCTGGAAGCAGTGAAGAATTCTTCCCTAGAGCCTCCAGAGGGAGCCTGGCTCTGCCAACACCTTGATTTCAGACCTCTGGCTTCTGGAACTGTGAGAGGGTACATTTGTGTTGTTTTAAGCCATCCTGGTTGAGGTACCATGTTATGGGAGTGTCCTGGGAAGCTCACAGAGTCTGGCTTCATGCTTGGTGTAGGACAGAGAAGGAGGCCATGGGGTCCCTTAAGGCCAGTGTGGTGGCCTTAGGGGCAGTGGCCAAAGACAGCCTCTTCTGCTTCAGAGTGGCAGGAAGTGATGTGCAGGCCAAAGCTCAGACTGAGGCACAAATACATCTGAGACAATGGGAGGGATTGAGGGTGTGCTGCCCACTGGGGGGTTAGCATGGAACCCAAGGCTCCGGGGTCCTCAGTCAGAAATATTTTGTGTCAACTGCAAAGCTGCTGTGACTTGAAAGACCTTCAGATTCACTTTTGATTTACAAATATTTTTGAAAAAGGTGACCCTAAGAACTTTATTTTTATCTTAAGGAAAAATCAGAAATTCAGATGAAGCTCTGTCCCCCAGGGTATTTATCTTGACTTTTTTTTTTTTTAAGATTTTATTTATTTGGGAAAGAGCACGAGCACGGGAGGAGCAGAGGGAGAAAGACAAGCAGACTCCACACTGAGCATGGAGCCCAACGTGGGGCTCAATCCCAGGACCCCAGGATAATGACCTGAGCCGAAATCCAAGAGTCAGACACCCAACCGAGCCACCCAGGTACCGTGACATTCTTGATAATACCGAAAAAGTAAAAACAGCCTAAATGTCCGATAGTAAGGAAAGGGTTAGTTAGATTATGGCGTAGCCACAAGATGGATTACTAAGCAGCCATCGCAGATATTTGTGAAGAGTGTTTAATGTTACAAAGAGCTCTTAATGATGTGCGAAAATGATAGTGATATAACGCTCAAAGAAAAAAACTGGTTATAAAATGGTACAATATGATGCCGATTGTGGAAAAAAAACAAAACAAAAAAAAACACATGAAAGGAAATCTGCCAAAAGGGCAGTGTGGTCTCGAGTTGGAAAATTTGTGGGAGATACAAACAGAAAACAAGAAACTTCTTTATACTTTCTATACTTTTAAAAGGTTTAGTGGGTACATGGATGACTTCTATAATCAAGAAAAAAGATTAAAAAAAAAACGTTAAAAATGCTGTGTACATGGTTTCCATTTTTATTTTCTCCGATGGATGATTGCACATCAGTGAATCTTGAGTTACGCTAACTACGTTAGGCCGGTCACGACACACACACATACAGAGAGGTCACACGGGCTGTGCCGAGCTGGCTGTAGCAAATGTACATCAAGTTACACAGGTGGAATTATTAGGCTGATTAAAATACACCACCAAACGATGGGACACAGTTGGGTCAGGCCACCTCTCCCGCCCGCCACTGCTGTTTCCGGAGGTCTGTGTGTTAAGCTGGTGAGTGGTGTCCTGCTGGCACTCGCTCCAGTGGCCCCCAGTGGGTGGAGAGCGCCTGAATCAGCATCTGCTCTGGGTCCCCTTCTCATCTGCCCATGCCTGGTGTTGGAGCCTCCAGCTCTCCACTACCTCTTCTGAGCACCGGTTGTGCTCCAGCCCAGGCCCTCATCCCCACTGTGCTCCACACACCTGGGGCAGACATTGCAAGGGAAGGAAGAGCCAAGAGCGAATGGACACACTTCTGATGTGAACTGTGCCCAAACACAGGAGGGGAGGAAGCAGGAGACATAACCACACCACCACACACAAGCTCAGTCTTTACAGATGGGCCCTCGTGTCTCCAAGATGCATGGGCTGCGTGGAGCCCTCCAGAGCACAGCCCCTGGGAGAGGACAGATGGGGGACAGGAGCTGTGCCCATCTGGGGCAGGCCTGATAGCAGAGCTAGAAGGGTGGATGGGGGATGTGTCCAACATGGTGCTAGATTGTTGAAAAGTCACGACTATACACACCTGGGGATCATGCCCCTCTCCCAGTTCATTCGCACAGTGGGTTAGATATAGATAGAGAGAAGTGGAGATACACTTTTTCAAGGGAGGACCTTTCCTGGTGGTTGGATAAACAGTGAGACAGACTCCTGGGTTTGGCATGCTCTGGGGGGGGCCATGCGACGGTGAGGGACTCCCTATTGCTACACTCTGTACAGGGCGGCCGGGCCCGCCCGCCACGCCCACGGCCCCTGGCGGCAGTCACAGGCTTGCCTTCAACCCCTTCCGCCTTGGAGAGCTCTTGGGCCCCGGTGAAATGGGGGCTATGAAGACAAGAGGGTGGGGGGGGGGTCCCCGTGGCCCTGGGGGCACCCCACGTGGGAGGCTACATGATATTGCACTGGGTGGCCCCGCAGCAATCCTTGATGAGTGCCAGCCCAGTCTTGGCCACTGTGGGCTTGCTAGGTGGGGGCTCTGCTTTCTTCTCTGCTCGGGAGCCTGCAGCAGGATGGGAGCATGGAGGGAGAGAGGGGAAAAGGGAGAGAGGAAGAGGTGATATAAGGAGAGCCCTGACCATCGGCAGCCCCTGTCCCATCCCAACCCCTAGCCAGGTCTTGCCCCAACTCCACAGATCAGGTTCGGTGCAGAGCTGGCATGTGTTTTATATGGTTCCAATGACTATTCCCACCTCCCTTGGAGCCCACTGGCTTTCAGTCCTTAGCTTCTAATCACAACCTTTAGCTCTTGTCCTATTCAGTTCTCTTCGTGGTTGTATCTGCCAAGCCTGGCACAGGGTCTGGCACTCAGAAGTGTTTGGTGAATGGATAAATGGGAAATTTTGTCCAAGTCACTTTAATCTGGGGCTTCGTGTCTTATGATCATCCATTATCTTTTCAGATTCCTCCAACACTTGTTTTCTGTTATCACGCCTTCCAGAATGCCTATTAGAAGTAAGTTGGACTTTCTTATTCTATCTTCCATGTTTTGGAAGACATTTCCGTCTCTTTGTGTTACATGCTGGTTAATTTCCTCCACTCTGTCTTCCAATTTATGAATTCTCCCTTCAGCTCTGTTTAATCTATGAGTTTTTACTTCTGTGACAATAATTTTTTTAGAAACCTAATTGTTTGCAAATCCACCAGTTCTTTTCTCATGGCATTCCACTATTTCATCTTGGGTTTTATCCCTTCTTTTATCTCTTCCATCATTTTAAATATACTTAGTTTATTGTCTCTTTTCGATAGTTATCTCTGGTTCTTGGGAGGACATTCTCTTTGTGGCATCTACTGACTCCACTCATGGTGGTTCAGTTCTTATGGGTTTAAAATTTTTATCAACAGCTCATTTTCATGGAGGTTGTTTTATCTGTGGGTTACATATTATGGGATGCAGAAGATTCCCCACTGAGCAGTTTTGCATTTGCTTTGCTGGGGTCCCAGAGCTTTCAGTGGCTTTATATTAGTTTTAATTTTTCCATTTTAGATCCCAGCACTAGATGATTAGTGTAAATTTGGATACTTGGCCCCTTGCATGGGGTACAGGCTTGGTGTTTTTCTTGACAGATGACTTTTTGCTATCCATACCCTGCATAAAAGGCAAGTGTCCTTGCTCCTTCCCCACACTCTTAGGTGGAGTTTTTCTAACTGACCTTTCATGGAAGAGACAGTCCACTGAGAATGCAGGATTTAGGCAAGGACCATGTGCCTTGTGATATTAGGGGCCTGCAGAGGTACCTTCTTTATTTATTCCCTTGCACTCTACCCCACATTTCATGGGATGTTAATAGATGGTCAGGGAAAACTGAGTTTGTGGCTGCAGTAGATGGTGGCAGCCTTTAAGTTTTGTCTTCCTAGCAAGATTTCCAGTCCCTTCACTCTGATAACAGCCAATGTCCCTGTGGCAACAGGAGTAGGCTTGCAACGCAGATCTGGCCAATCATAGTATCCCAGCCTCTTGATGATGGTGATGGCCTAGGGGGTGGGAACATGATCCGAGAAGGGCCAATCAGAATATTCCCCTGAGATTGATGTGTTTAGATATGAGGAGAGAGAATGTATGGTGTTGTCTTGCTGCTGCTAAGTTATGGTTCTGGAGTTCAGGCCCCATGAAGAAGGCCTGTGTAGTAGGAGAAAATGAAACTCACATACAAAGAGGGGCAGAAATAGAAATGGAAGGAAAACGAGGGCATTCTAATAGTGTCCAGTCCCCAAAGCTGGTTCCTGCTGCTCTTCTTCCAACAAATCCCCCTTTCTGCTATTGCAAATTTGAATTGGGTATCCGTTTCCTGTAACTAAAAGGAGCCTCACTGGGTCGACAAAGAGAAGCAGGACCCGTTACCACTTTTATAGGCTAATAGACATTGGCACCAAACAGAGGGTCAAATATGTAGCATTTCCCAAACTTGTTTCACACAGAACCCTTTTCACTCTGATTATCAGCAGAGGTTGGTTTTTTTCTAAAAGCCTCAGCCCCCACCTTTTTGCCTCAGTGGCCACGAAACTCCTACAAAATCCACCAAACCTGTGATTGATAAGGGACAGCTGCTGCCAGGACCAGCTACACAGTCTGCCGAACCCAGGGCAAAATGAAAATGCAGGGCCACTTGTTCCAAAACTATTAAGAACCTCAAGACAGCAATAGCAAAACGTGAAAGCAAGCACAGTGCCCTTTTGGGCATCAGGGCCTGGGCAGCTTCCCTGGTAGCATGCCCATGAAGCTGGCCCCACCTGCTGCCATCGTGTGCCCAAGTCTGATCTCTAGAAAGCATTTTGTTGTCCCCACTCTGGCTCTCGGACCTCTTTTAAATTTCCTTTTCTCCTGGATGGGGGAAGGAGGAGGAATGCACTCACTGGCTGGAGATTTGGTTACTTTATCTAGAGGTTTTAACTTGATTCTCAGGAAATCCGCCATTTCCTTGTCTTCTTCTTGCTCCCTGTGAAGACAGGTGTGTAAAAACAAGAGGGAAGTAGAGTAAACAAGGAAAGCATCAAGGAACTGAGGAAATGAGGCCAGAGGTTAAGTGTGTGGGGCCATGTATCAGGCTCTGTGGCTGGTGTGGGTATGCTTTTGTGTGTTATGTGCGGCTGGTGTGAGTATTGTGTATTATGTGTGGCTGGTACACATATGCTGTGCATTACGTGTGGATGGGGAATATATGTTCTGTGTTCTGTGTGGGTGGTGTGCATATGTTGTGTGTTACGTGTTGATGGTGTGTGCATGTTGCATTTGATGAACTTGCTCTGAAGCACAGACATGTATCAGCAATGGAGTAACTGTCTCCCCAGGGCCAGGGTGAGATCCCAGGGCAGAGGCAGGGCCATGCTAGGACCCAGCCTCTGTGGGGGGTTCAGTAAGCTGAGTAACACCCCCCTGACCCTGTGCCCTTAAGTCACCGTACACATCTGAGCTCCCATGAGGTACGTGGCAAGTGTCAGAGAGCAAGTCACCTGAACTCTTCCAAGGGTCATCAGGAACAAAGTTAGCGGGCCCAGGCTGGCTGAGCCAGGCAAGGAGCATTCCAGCCTTTGGAGGACCCAGGAGGACACAGACAATAAAGAGCTAGATGCCTTCTGGGTTGGAAGAAGCCCTGTGAGCCACTTTCCTTGTGGGGGACTCCAAAGGCCTGGCTCCAGGACAAAAATACTCAAGAATCAACATTTGCATCTTCCTATGAGCAGGTGCCCTGTGGCTCCAGGGCCGGTGGTTGTCCAGATCAAGTGGCAGGTGTATCTGCAAACAGGAGACCCTGAGGGATAGGGAGGGGTGCTGGAGCCCCCTGGGGCGGGGGAGGGGCGAGGGGGAAGAGCACAAAGCCAGGAAGTGGAGAGGGCAGGCAAGGAAGCAAGTCAGTTCAGGGGGCAGGGGTTCTGCAGAAACCCACAGAAGTTTCTGGAAGTGGCCTTGATGAACAGTTTGCCTTGGGAGAGAGGTCAGTGAAGAGAATGTGTAGGATGCTCTACCATGTGTCATGTGATGTAATTCCTCCCCAGTCACCTCCTTGAGTAACATTTACTTAAGACCCACAGGCCTTTGCAAGACTTTTTGGAGTTGGATTCCAGTTCCTTTGGAATGTGCAACAGGTCCTCAGGCCAAGAGGCTGGGGGTTCAGTTGGATCCAGTGTGTGGGAGCATTTGCTGAGGCCACACCTGTCAGGCCAGACCATGAGTCCCTGCAGCAGAAGCTGGGTTTGGGAGGAGGCCGAGGACTGCGTTCTAGCAGCGCAGGGACGGGAGCCCACTCACCTTAGCCGCTCGACCTCTGCATCATCCACCAGAAAGTCTCTCTTCTGCACCAGCTTATGGATCTTCTGGATTAGCTCATCCTCTCTCTGCTTCTGCGGCTTGGTCTTTTCTTTTTCTGGGAAGAAGAAAACACCAGCAAAGAAACAGTCGAGTGTAACTGCCGGAAGCACGTGAGTCCAGGGGGCCAGGGTTGGGTTCCTGGCTCTGCCAGGTCACTCGCTGGGTGACCTCTTCAAAGCTCAGTTTCCTTTCCTGTAAAGACACACGGTGGGGCTTAAAGGCAGTAGCGTTAGTATATGGCTTAGCCCAGAGCTGGCCCAGTGGCAGGTACTAAGGAAGTGGTAATGATGAAACAAGGGGATCATGCAGAAGGCAAGGGGCTTGGAGGGCTCAGGCAGGGGTGCTGGGGGAGTTACTCTACAGCCAAGAAATCATCCATGCTGATGGCTCTTGTCCCGTCCCAGATACCAAGGACTGGAAGGCCAAAGAGAAAAAAAAGACCCAGGGCTGGAGATGATGACTGAGAAAAGGAGGAGGGCAGAAACTTGAACCTCTTCAGCTTCCTCTGCTCAGACCCCTTCAGAAGATAAAAAGTGTGGGGCACCTTGTCTGCAGGCACCACCCACCAGCCTCCAGGTACCACCCACCGGCCTCCAGGTACCACCCACTGGCCTCCAGGCACCACTCAACTGCCTCTAGGCACCACCTACCTGCCTCCAGGCATCACCCACCTGTTTCCAGGTATCACCCACCTGCCTCCAGGCATCAGCCATCTGCCTTCAGGCATCAACCACCTGCCTCTAGGCACCACTCACCTGCCTCTAGACACCCCCACCTGCCCCCAGGCATCTTCCAACTGCCTTCAGGCACCACCCACCCACAGGCAGGCACCACCACTTGCTTGGTGATGTGATCCTTTTGCTTGCCAACATCATCCACCTACTTGCCAATGGGAATTGCCAGCTTGCCAGCTTCACCCCCTGCTTGTTGGCACCACACACCTGATTCCTAGCATCTCCACATGCTTACCAGCGTGACTCTCCAACTTGCTTCTCATCTCCTCCAGCACACCTCCTTAGCACAGGCCATCTCTTCCTGGACCATGTGTGCCCTCCTAACTGGACTCCCTGGCCTGTCACCCCAACATGACTGTGAGCACCCACTGTAGAACCAGACAATCCCGCCTTCACACCCTAGCTTCTCCTCTCTCTAGGTATGTGACCCTGGGCATGTTCCTCAACCTCTCCAGGCATCCAGTCTCTCAACATAGATAATCATGAAGTTGCTGCAAATTTTAAGAGAGAGAAACCAAGGAAAATAGTAGGCTCACCACCTGTATGTAGTAAGGGCTCATGAACTGTCAGCGGCTCCTATCATAAGCTATCATTTTACATCATCATTGTTGTTTTAATGATTAAATGCTTCCCTCTTAAATATTTACTGAATCAAGTACAGAAGAAATAAATACTTAGTTGATGAATAAAAAGCAAATTTCATAGCATAAGTGTGCAAATGAGAAGTGCTTCATAAATTGCAGCTATTATATTTGTATTCCCATGAGCTTGTCACTTTCATTTAATCTCTGTTTCTCAACCTTGGCACCGCTGACATTCGAGACAGGATCATTCTTAGTTGCAAAGGCCGTCCTGTACACTGTATGGTGTTTAGCAGGATCCCCGGCCTCTACCCACTAGAGGCCAGCAGTACCCCACCCCAGGTGTGACAACCAAAAATGCGTCTGGACATTGCCCAGTGTCCCTGGGCGTGGGGCAAAATCACCCCTGGTTGAGAACCACAAGTTTAGTCCTCTTTAACAATGCTATGAGGGAGACACTATTCTTATGTCCAAGGGGAAAGTGCCATGGCCTCTCTAGCCGGGGCTACACATCCCTAGTTCTGAGGTAGTGGTGGTGGCAGTGGGGGTGAGATGACGTATCTTGGCTTGTCCCAGAGGAGCCCTCAAGGCAGAGAAGGCCCCAGGCATTCTCTCCAGCCAGACATCTGCACCCACCACCGGGGAGCTGGTGAATGATCTTCTGACCCTGGCTGGAGAGGCATGAATTTCTTGGCCATTCAGTGATCTCTTTCTTTAATACTTTATTGATGTGTTGCCAGGAGCACTGTTTCTCCCCCCACCCCCCACCCCCCACGCTCAGCTGAATCCATCTAGACACCTGACCCTGGTCCAGGAATACACAGAAAGACTCAACAAGGGGTCCGAGGAGAAGGTAGAGAGAGGTGAGTAGGAAAGCAGAATAAGAAAGAAAATTTTAATATGTGAATTTCTACACAAAGGTCACTGGGAAAACTTGATTTCCTGGGGGTGTCAATGGGACCAGCATTAAGGACCTGAGCTCTATTGCTGACTGGTCCCATGACCTTGTCAACCCATGTTTCTTAGCCACATGGTCAATGACAGTTCAGGCAGAATTCGATCTTCATGTGGGATTCCCCTGCACTGTAGCTTTTGGCATCCTTGGACTCTGCCTACTGAGTATGTGTACTGATCTTGTCTTAATTTAAATTTTTGGTATTTTATTTATCATGGGTTGTGTGTGTGTGTGTTGGTATTTTTAAAAATTTCTTAAAGATTTATTTTATTTTAGAGACTGACAGAGTGCATGTGGGTAGGGTGAGGGGCAGAGGGAGAGAGAGAATCCCAAGCAGACTCCTCGCTGAGTGTGGAGCCCGACGCGCAGCTTGATCCCATGACCCTGAGATCATGACCTGAGCCAAAATCATGAGACAGACACTCAACCAACTGAGCCACCCAGGCGCCCCTGTTTTGGTATTTGAAATATTGCATTAATATATTATTTGTCCTGGTTACTGAATTTTTTTGTGTTCTAGCTGAGTACCTTGTCTTTCTCACCATAGTCCCAGTTCTGGTCAGTCAGGCACCCCAGGGACTGTGTCAGCCAAAGAACCCTGCTCCCATCCATTTCCACCTGTGTTCTAGAGGCTGCCACAGCCCCGACTGGAGCCCCTGTGGCCTGAGGTGGTCCTGGCTGGTTCAGTGGTCACACACCCATGTCTCCTTTGCTTCAGCAGCTCCCATGTGTTCTGAGCCAAAAGTGATTTCGGAAATCAACCCATGTTTGGCCCATCAGAGCTCTCCTCGGAGGCTGAAAATTAGGACATAGAGGCCCTAAGAGTTGGGGTTTTTGTTTTGTTTGTTTTTACTGTGAAAGAGAGGAGAAGGCAAGGGGATCAATGCTCAGAGATGAAGACCCTTTGCTCTTCTTTACTCCTGCCCTCATTGGTCCTTCGGGATAATCATAAATCTTTTTATCACTGTTTCTCAAGCATGTGATGTGTGACAAGGGGTCTTACTGAACTAGGAGGATCTGTTTACTGGAAGGATACGATATGCTAATCTGCTTGTGTCTACGAGTTCTGCTAAACATAGAAGAGTTGGGTTTTTGTGTGAGAAGATAATGGGAGGGAGATGGAGTGGGCTTGCTTGGCTCTTCCAAAACAGAAGGAGAGAGAGAATGAAAGAGAGACAGAGAGGGAAGGAATATTCCAACAGCTTTCCTCTCTCTGGTTCCGAACCCTTGTGAGGTTGGCTTGAGCTTCAGGCCAGTATTGGGTTGAGTAGTATCCCCCTCCCCACAAAAATGTCTACCCTGTTTGGAAATAGGATCTTTGTAGATGTAATTAGTGGAGATGAGGTCATATACACTGCGGTGAGTGTAAATCCAGTGACAGCTGTCCTGTGAGAAGGGGAGAGGATGTATAGATAAGGAAGAAGCCATGGGATGAGAGAAGCAGAGACTGGAGCAAGTCAGCTGCAAGCCAAGGAGCACCAAGGACTGCCGGCAGCCACCAGGAGCTGGAAGAGGTAAGGAAGGATTCTCCTCTAGAGCCTCTGGAAGGAGCAGGGCCCAGCCGACACCTGGATTCTAGACTTCCAGACTCCAGAACTGGGAGGAACCAATTTATGTTGTTTGATGCCGCTGAGTTTGAGGGAATTTGTTAGGGCAGCCATAGGGAGCTCATACAATGGCCCAGGGCTCCAGAAGCCTCCTTCCGGTAATTGCCCATTTGGTGCTGCCGTCGGGGGTAGGGGTGGTGGATTTTTATACCTTTGAAACTAGTTCTTGGTGGGATACGAAATGCGACAACAGAAACAGCCGTCCCCACAGGCTGGCTCTTCACCCTGGCTGCTCCTCACGGTCACACAAGGCTTTAAAAAGTGACCCGTGCCAGAACTCCACACTCACTGAATAGAATTTCTAATGGGTGATGTCTGGACATTGCGCTTTTTGCTCCCTTCTTTGGCTGTTGACTTTCTATGGTAACAGTGTTCTCAAGATACAATTCACATACCATTACGAGTCCCCCATCGAGTCATGCAACCATGACCACAATCAATCCTAGAACAGTTTGATCACTTCCAAGAGAAACCCTGTACCCGTGTGCTGTCCGCCCACACAGTGCCTGGCACCTGGTGAGTACTCGCTGGAGCAGCGGTGTCTGAAGGATCCACTAGCCCCGCACGCACTGTACCGGGCGCTCCCATGGTTTGCATCTCCCACCTCATGGCATATGCACAACCACCATGGGAGGCTGGCATTATTGGCCTCATTTTGCAAACAAGGAATTTAAGGCTCAGAGAAATTAAGTTTCTACATGAAGGCCACCTGTCTGGCCAGCCTGGATTCAAAGCCAGGTCACTGGACTCTAAAGTAGGGGTTCTTGGGGCGCCTGGGTGGCTCAGTCAGTTAAGTGTCTGCCTTTGGCTCAGGTCATGATCCCAGGATCCTGAGATGGAACCTCGCATCATCAGTAGGTTTGCTACTGCCATGTTAAAATGAATTAGTATATAAATATAAGGGTGGGTAGAAACTTGTTCAGTTAATGACAAGAACAACAGTAATAATTTCTTAAGCGCTTACTAAAGGATGGCAACTGTGCCTAGTACCATACGTGTTTTTCCCCTCAGTCAATCCCACAACTGCCCTACGAGGTAGATACCATTATTGTCCCAGTTGACAGGTGAGGAAACTGAGTTTTGGTGGAGTAAGTTGCTTCAGGTCATGTCATTAATAATCGACAGATCTGGGTGCCTGGGTGGCTCAGTTGGTTAAGCGACTGCCTTCGGCTCAGGTCATGATCCTGGAGTCCCGGGATCGAGTCCCGCATCGGGCTGCCTGCTCCGCGGGGAGTCTGCTTCTCCCTCTGACCCTCTTCGCTCTCGTGCTCTCTATCTCTCATTCTCTCTCTTTCAAATAAATAAATAAAAGCTTTAAAAAAAAATAATCAACAGATCTAGGTCGGACTCCGAAGTCAGAGCTTGTAACCCCCATACTCTACCTGTCTCCAAACAGAATAGTAATAGTAATAATCATTAATACTTACTGAACTCTTCGTTTTGGACCAGATGTGAAGCTAAGCCCATGTCTTGCCATGTTCTGTGTATCACAATGAGATTTATACCCAACGAGTTAAGTGCTATGACTGGTACTACCCTGTTTTCAGAGGACGGGAAATTGAGTGCCAGATAAAGTGACTTTCCCAAGGTCAAGGAAGGGGCCAGAATGAGGACTTGAAGCCAGGTCTACCTGACATGGAGTGCTGCATTGCAAGAATGGGGCTGTGCTAGGATAAGAGATGAACTCTGTCTTACAACCCGAAGGGGCACAGACGGGGCTGGCCCAGGTGGCTCTGGGCAGCTCCTTAGCTAGGCTAGAGTCCCACATGCTTACCTGGGATGGCGACCAAGTTCTGTAGCTCCTGCTTAAGGTCCATAATGTCGTTGCAGAGCTGGATGTCGTCCATCCTGGGGAGACAGGACACCATCCCACAGCAGGTTACACTGACAGAACATTCTACACCCTGAGCATCACTCAGGTTAAACAAAGGCTTTGGGGAGGATGATGTCCTTTGTAAGGACCACACACACTCTTCCTACAGGTTCTCCCTTAAAAGAAGAGAAACAGGGGCGCCTGGCTGGCTCAGCAGGAAGAGCTTTCATGACTCTTGATCTCAGGGTTGTGAGATCAAGCCCCACATGGGTATAGAGATTACGTAAATAAATAAAAGCTTTATAAAGAAAAAAGAAAAAAACAGAAAGTGCCTATTATCCTACTACTTAGAAATGACTGGTCACTGTTAATGAATCCTTGATGGAATTGCTTTTGGTCTTTACGTCCTCACTTCTGTTTGCTCATATGAGTGAGCTCAGGCTGCAGGCTCAGTGTTTTCTCTTAGCAGCTATGTTAAAAAATGTTAAACATTATAGAAATTCACAATGTAGAGAAAATCTCCCTCAGTCCTTTAGAAAAAAAAATGTCAATGGTGTTTATTCCTCCAGATTTATAAAAATGTTCATGTTTATACTATGAGTTATGACATTATTGCTATTACACAAAAACATTTTGCGGTTTTTTTAACTTAATGATATATCTTGAGCCTTTCTCCACATCAGTACATGCACGCCTCCTCGTTTTTAATGGCTGCATGGTATTCTACTATATTGATACATGGTGATTTATTTAACCATTCCCCTAGGCACAGACATCTGGGTTATTTCTAGGATAAATTCCTAGAAATACATCAATTCCTAGAAAAATTAATCCCTAGAAATTCAATCAGTGGGTCAAGTGACATGAACACTTCATTTTACCTTTTATTTTTATTTTTTAAAAAAGATTTATTTATTTATTTGAGAGAGTGCACATGCATGCACGCTCACAGGGGGGATGGGAGAGAGAATTTCCAGCGGACTCCGAACTGAGCAAGGAGCCCAGTGCAGGGCTTGGTCCCAGGACCCTGAGGTCATGACCTCAGCTAAAACCAAGAGTCTGAAGCTCAGCCGACTGAGCCACCCAGGTGTACCAACACTTGCATTTTAATTAGGAACTTCAAAATTGCCCTCCAGATGGATGGTGCATGATATTCCCGCCAACTGTGTGCAAGGATGCTCAACTCCTATAATCTCAGTCATCGGGCTGCCCAGACAGTCTTGCATCATGCGTGACAGTTTTGTAGCTCTGCTATAATATTAACTCATACTGTTGTAAATGATAAGTGTACTGGATATCTGGAATTTCACCGAGTGTATTTATCAGGGCTGCTTTAATGACCCCCCTTATCTTGATTACTTAGGTGGGGCTTTCAGGTTGCGCTTTTTGGGGTGCCATTTGAGCCACTGTTGTCTACACATGGATTCACATAAGGCTTTTTCTTCAAGTTGGATTACTTGGAGTGGGGGCCGTGGATTCTCAGAAGTAGCGCCCCTGAGTACAACGGGCTTGACGTGGCTATGGCTGTTGAGACCTATTTTCAAATCGCTTTCTCATGGGGCGTGGAGGGTCTTTGCCTTCATCCTGCCCGGCTCTAAGCATGCAGCAGCCTCCTCTGCCCCTGGGAGCCAAAATTTAGGTGGGGTGACAGAGGGTGAGCACAAATACAACAGAACGTCACATGCGCTGAAGAAGAGTAAAACGAGGGGTCAGGGGGGATGGAGGGGCCAGTATGGACACATCATCCTCCTATCCCAGGAAGAGAGAGAGGGGAGCATTCATGTTCTCAAAGGACTCGACTGAATGCAGACGGCAGATGGGAACAGGACAAGGACTGGAAATGAGTGGCCTCTAAGTCCACTGATCTTCCGGCCTCCTTCCGAGGATCTGCTGCCCCCATTCAGAAGCGCCATCCACAGACCAGCTTGGGGCGCCCCTGCCTTTTGCTGGCCGTTATCACGCCTTCTGATCCTAGCTCCCAGCTTTCAGGACAAGCCACAGAATCATCTCCCTGTTGCCAGAGGCACCCCCCCAACATTTGTCAGGCCCTGCCCTGAAATGTCCTAGCAGGTGGAAGCTGCCTCAAGTAAGCTTGGGGGCTTGCCAGGAGGGCACAGCCTGTTCCCGTGGGCTCCCGTCGGCGATCGTTCAACTGGAGGGGCTCCAGAATCCTTTGCCACATTGACTGCAGAGATCAGCCTCCATCCGTGGCTCTAATGAGGATGATTCTGGTCTCCGGGGATATTTGGCGACATCTGGAGACATGTGGGTTGTGACAATGGAGCGCGTGTGGGGATCGCCGCCAGCATACACTGGGTAGAGTCCGGGGATGTTGCTAAACGTCCCACAGCGCACAGGACAGCGCCTTGGTGGAGAACGACCTGGTCCGAATGTCAATCCTGCTCATGCTGAAAAATCATGGGTTACGACCACAGAATTGAGACAGGTACCTGACTGAATGTTCGAGAGACGGAAGAAGGTGGTGGTGAAAGGGACAAAAGAGAGACAGACAGTGGTCAAAAGCAAAAGCCCTGGAGCCCAATAGCTGTGCTTCAGAGGGGCCCGTGCGCCAGTGACTGAACTCTGAGCCTTGCTTTCCTCCTTTTTAAGATGGGAATAATAACTAAGTCTTGCTGCCCAAGATTATTCTGCATGTCAAGTGCTGGGACACACAGAGTGAAGTGCTCGGTAATTGGTATCTAGTAAAACTTCGCTATGATAAAGAAGCAGGGAGAGAAGGAGAAAATGATGCTGGGAGAATATGTGACAAATGGAACATGTTCAACTTTAAAAATAATCATCTTTATTGGTTATGTTCCTCTATATCAAAGTTCTAAAATAGATTCTTGTCTCGTTGTAGAGGACACCCCTGTTCACTGCAGAGTTTTGGGAAAACACCAACGGATACGAAAAAGGAATCTAAAATGATGCATGACCTTGACTTCCCTGTGCACCAGAGACTACTATGTCACTCCGAGTGTCTCCGTGTAGTTCACACCAGTCTTTTGTCCTTTCTGTAACCCAAGTGTGGTGGGCTTGCCCTGGGAGGCCTTCGCCCTCACTCGCTGTGAGTCTTGAAACTGCAGTCGGTATGATTTTGAGTTCTCCCAAACACTCTCAAATCCACCACCATTAACAGGTCAGGTGGAATTTTTTGGAAGCTCTCATGGGGAGTCATGATGCAGCTCCTCATAAAAATCTCTATTCGAGGGCACCTGGGTGTCTCCGTCGGTTAAGCGGCTGCCTTCGGCTCAGGTCATGATCCTGGAGTCCTGGGATCGAGTCCCGCATCGGGCTCCCTGCTCAGCAGGGAGTCTGCTTCTCCCTCTGACCCTCCCCCCTCTCATGTGCTCTCTCTCTCTCATTCTCGCTCTCTCAAATAAATAAATAAAATCTTTAAAAAAAAAAAATCTCTATTCGATCCTGCTCTTTTCCTCAAAGACAAAAAGTCACCGTGTACTGAGCATTTAGTCTGGGCCAGGCACCATCTCAGCACTTTCTATGCATAAACTCATCTAAATCCTCATTGCCATCCTATCAGAAAGTTGTTTTTATCCCCACTTTACAGACAAGGAAATGGAAATGAAGCAACATGCCCAAAGCCATAACAAAACACAAAAAGATTGTATGGCTTAAACCATGAACATTGATTTCTCACAGTTCTGAAGGGCTAGGAAATCCAAGATCAAGATGTCAGCCAATTCGGCTCCTGGTGAGGGCGTCCTTCCTGGTTTGCAGATGGCCACCTTCTTGCTAAATTTTCACACGGTGGAGAAAGAGATCCTCACTTTGGGGTCTCTTGTATAAGGGCCGTAATCCCACTCACGGGGGCTCCACCCTCGTGACCTAAGTACCTCCCATAGGCTCCACCTCCAAGTACCATCACACTGGAAATCAAGGCTTCAACATATGCATTTGGGGGGCAGGGGGAATTCATTCTGCAGCAAGAATGATGGCAATCCCATCTGCCTTTGCTGGACATCTGCTTTTCCAGGCCCCCTTGCAGCTAGAGGTACCCATGAGACCCACTTCGGGCCAACGGGATGGAAGAGGAAGTCTGCTTGGGGGCGCTCCTGGGAAAGATGACCCAAGTCCCCAGTGCTACACCCCTCCTAGTCCTGATGCTTCTGCAGTCACTGTGGTGAGAGGGGCAAGGAGAAAGGAGCAAAGAGCTACCTTGCTGATGCTCAGATCACCTGCGTCTGGACTTCTTGGTAAGTAAATATTAAATGTCCTTATGCTTTAAGTAGAGTGACCTACTGTCTTGGTTTGCCACAACTGTCCCAGCTTTAGCCCTGAAATTCCCATGTCCTGGAAAACTGCTCCATCCCAGGCGGGATGGGGACAGTTAGTCACCTTACATTTAAGACACTAGGTTTTTTAAAAATTTTTTTGGGGGTGAGAGAATCTTAAGCAGGTCCATGCCCAGCTCAGAGCCCGACACCGGGCTCGATCTCACTACCCTGAGATCATGACCTGAGCTAAAATCAAGAGTTAGACACTTAACCGACTGAGCCACCTAGGCACCCCTAGATTTAAGACACTATTAATGGAATGTTCTGTTGCTTATAGCTGAAGACATCTTCACTGATACAATGTGTGTGGATATGTGTGCTTTGAATAAAACATATGTATGCCCTGCTCATTGTAAGCATTACATGGTGATGGAATTTCAGTGCCATTAAGTTATATTGTTAACAAAAGCATTTCAATAGTTCATGCAAAGCACTTTTGAAGCTTAGCTGGACCTTTTGAATAAGGCACGTTAGTCCAGTTCTCGGCAGGAATAGAGATAAGTCCTGGAAATCAAACTCTGCTATTGCCAGAGAGAGAGAGAGAGAGAGAGAGAGAGAGATGTCATCTCCAAGAACCTGATTAATGCAACAGGGAAAAGAAGCCAGCTCGTGCCATTCCGCATTCCAGCCTTTCATGCTGGGACGATGGTGGAAATCAGTCATTTTACCAGCTCTGGGCAGGGAGAGGTGATCGAGCTCTGTCAGAATAATAGTGCAGCTGCTTTACAAAAGATCTTTGA